TGCATCAAGTAGTCTTAGAATTGTCCATGAACATGGACTTCAAGACACCATTACTTAAGCACCAAGTCATATATGAAGTGACAAGGGTGGGTCATGTGCCTTTGATGCATCACCAATCATATAAGAAATGAAAACAAGGTTGAAAAGAAGATAAATTTTGCTCCCAATTGTCATCAGGATGGACTTTTAATTGAATGCAAGACATAGAATAATGGGAGATATGCCTTAAAATAATGATGACTTTAGAATTAATTAGCAAAGACACCAAGTTTCATTAATTATGGATCATAGGTTTTTTTGATAAAATAATGCATCAAAACAAACTCCTAACCTTGATCACATTTAGTGAATTTTAGGAACATAAACAAACATAAGTTAGGATGCTTAAATGGTTCAACAATTTTGAACTTAAGACCCTAAACATGTCATTAAGATGAGGTAGAAAAATGAGAATCAAATCCCCAGAGGTTGCATAAATGCATACCATGTACCTCACAAGAAAAGCACAAAATGAATCACATTTAAAGAGAAAGATCAAAGTGATCAATTGAAGTCAAATGCAACTCAAGCCTTTATAAGACTATCCTTGAGCTTATCATACTTCCGAGCATAAATTACAACCAAAAATTGTACAAGAATAATGATTTAAATATCAAATGCAATCAAATTAGGTTTTACAAACCACACAAACTTTATGCTCAAGGTAAAAACCAAATGAACAACATACAATTTCCAATAAATGAAAACATGTTAACATACCATTAAAGCACTAAAATTATCATAACATACCCAAATATTGGCCTTAAATTTTGTCCATAAGCTTTGGAATGAAGCTTGACTAAATTACACTAGGCCAAAGGAACATGTTCACAACAAAATTCCATAAAAAAATAGAGAAATAGGATATAAAATCCAAACAAAAATGATCAAAGGAGCTCAAGTCTCTTACAAGTCAGAAACCATTCATTTATTAACTTAAAAGTCTATGGAAATATCAACATTAAATCAAAATATCAAAATAGATGGAAATTAGAAATTGCATTGTTGGGACCATCCAAAAACTCAACCACGAGTTCTTCATTTTGCAGCAAGAAGCGCAAAATAATTTCATTCATCCAAAACTTCAAATTCAAACAATCTCTACCCTTGATTCAATTTTATCAATAGTCCACAATCACTCCCACAAGTTGGCACAAATAGATCCTTTTGCCTCCAAACTGAAAATTTTCACAAACTCTCAAAGTTTCCTCTCAATTTTCAATCCATTCCACTATAAATAACACATCTCAGATCAAGGAAAAGGGGGAAGAAAATTACACCAAAGATCTGTACAAATTGAATTGAAATATTCCTCCAAATAAACCTATACTTCGTAATTCAGTAAGATTAAAATTGTTCACCATTCTTCACAAAACCTACAAACACAAATCAGACGGGAATCAACAACGCTTAAGAAACGTTAACAGTTTCCTCTCATTGACAACAAACGCAACAACAATAACTCACAGAGAATAGAAGGTGTAGAAGAAAAATTTAACTCGAGAACAAGATTACATAAATATCGTTTACCTGAGTTTAGGAGTGCTCTTCGGTTTTCTCTCATCGGCACAGTCATTGATGTCGCATCGGACGAACTCCGATAGGTAGGCTTCCTATTTCTCTCTTTTGTGAATCATATCGCATGAACAATTTCTTGATTGATTTAAATTTGTAGCTGGATTTTCTTTAGTTTTAATCTTTAGTATTTGTTATTGGTGTTTGATGATTTAATACCATGAGAGAGAACTGCGAATTGAGAGTGAAAATCTTGGTGTTACTGTGTGATTTTCGGAACAACGGATGTGCAAAAGTTTGAAGAGACATTGTTTTTGGTTCGATTGAAAGAGATTTTTTTTTTGTTTTGCCGCTCAGAATATTGTTATGTTGTTGCTATTCGCGAGATGAAGTAGAATCATGAACATAGTATGTTGTTGTAGTTTGGTGAGAGCGAGAAGTAGGAGAGAAATAGGGGAAATTTTGTGAAAAGAGAAACAAAGAAAAATTATAGCGTGAGAAAGAGATGTAGTGTGAGCGAAAGATCACTAGGGTTTAGGGTTATGTTAGTTTCAATTAGCGTTTGGGCCTCAGAATAAAACCTGATCTACTTCCTTGCCTTGGCCCAATTCAGTACAATCCTATTCATTTGGCACCATTACCCTTAATTTCGTAGGCACGCCCCTCCTTGTTTTTTTATGTTAAAGACCAGTAATATGATAATATATTGTCTTGGACCTGCTTCTTTTGAGCCCAGCAAAATAACACACTACATACCCCCATTCTATTGTTTCTGACCAATTTTTTATTTTGTTCATTTATCATTTTTTTTATTATCATGTTTTTGGCTTAAACTTCCAGCCCAGTGAATTTGATGTTTTTTACCCCCTATATTACTAACTTTCAACCATTTTCTTTAATAATTTCTTTTTAATTGTTCTTATATTTAGTTTTGAAATTAATCATGTTAATTGTTTTTATTTAATTTAACCAATTTTGATTAATTAGTTTTTATTAAATAATTTCAATTAACTTAATTAATTTGTGTGTTTATCATTTAATTGTTTAATTTCTCCTTTTCGATTACTTGATTTTATCTTTTGTACACTTTGTTACTTTTAGTTAATTAATCAAATATTGACATTACTTAGTTGATTTGGTTATTAAAAATTAATTAGTTTTGCTAATTAATTTATCTTAATCTAATTAATTAATTTTATCAATTCTTGATGAATTAATTAAACATTTACTTCATATATAATTGACCTCATTTAGCTTTGATACATGTTCCTAACCCACTTTGACTTAAGTTTTTGTTTCATAAGACCCTTAGTTTAGTTTCTCTATTATCCTGGTTTTGTCTGTTTGTTGGGAATTTCATCTGATACAGGGATTCTTATCTGATACTTTGAAATTTATCCTATGCTTTGAGTTTTATTTGACACCTTGGGTTTCTCTAATACTATCTGCTTGTGATTTATTTTCACATGATGTCTGGTACACTCTTGATGTATTCTTTACTTACGACTTTAATCCAAAGGGATGTGAACGCTGTATTGACTTCTTTATGTCAAGTATTGACTTCTTATTTGGTTAGACTATTCCTTACTAATCTTTACCTTCTTGTGCATATGATAGTCTCTTCATCTCCTACCACATTCTTTAATTTTCAAAACATTCTCATCTTTTTCAAAACCTTCTTGTTTTCAATAAACTTGACCACTTTCATAATAAACCTTGACTTTGTCGAGAGACTTCTTTTCAAACTTCTTTTCTTCTTCAAGTTTCTCAAAACACTTAATAAATAATTATGAGAATCACACTTCCACGAGCCTTAAGAAGTGGAGAAGGATGAGTGGGTCCATTCCCAAAGTTTGACATTTATTCTGTTCACAGTCTTTTGTGTGATTAAAACCACAAATCCTTTTTCAAAGACTAAAAAACATTCAAACCTTTTTGTGCGCTCGAGCACCTTTTTCTTTTAAAACCTTTTTCCAGATTAGACATGATTCATTTATAATCGATATGTTATTCCTTTATCCCCCATGGTTGTTGACTTTTCCACTTGAGTACTAGAGGTGTTCTCAAACGCTCCCTCATATTTGTGCGTAATCTTTCTTTCTTATACCTTGTGGGCGATTAGACGAGTCTTCTCCTTAAAAATGATGACTTGTCTCTTCTTTTAAAAATCAATTAACACGTCAAGTTTTGTTCTTTTTTAGAAGAACTACGAGTGCCCTGATCCCTTATTGCACGAAGGGGGTACATAGGCACAAAGGTTCGCAACCGCGGCGAGTACAATAATAAAAAATCCAAAACCATTTATCTTTTCTTTCTTTATTCATTCATTCTTTCTCTTTAGCAAGTTTAAGCTTTAGATAACACGCTCTTTGATTAAAATAAACAAAGTGGATCATGTAGAGTACCGTAGATGCTTAAGGTGCTAATACCTTCCCTTTATATAACCGATCCCCGTACCTTGATCTCTGATCTTTTATTTTATTTTTGGTTTTATTCGCACTTTTCCCATTTTCCCTTTGGAAAAACTAAAGTGTCGTGACGACTTTCACTGATATGAGTTAAGTCAATTAATGGTTTAGTCTCAAATGTTTAGCGCTATATTTCGCTATGCGACAGAGGGAGTCGACTTAAAGTATAATATAAGGGACTAAACTTAATGTCTAGGCTAGAGATAAAGTATTTTCTTGGATCAAATCACTTCGCCTTGTTCGAGCCTTCGTGTTTGAGAGACTGTGTAAAGGTATAATTCTAGTGGGCCTTAAGAGGGGGAGGGGGGGGGGGGTCCAAGGAAGGGTTAGCACCCAAAGAAGGGCTAACCCGTTAAGAGAGGATAACACTGAAATAAGGGCTAGTGTTGAAAGAAGTGCTAGCGGCCAAAGAAGGGCTAGCATCTACAAAAGGGGGTGGCCCACATAAGGGAGATCGTCCATGTTTCTCTCTTAAATCAGTAAGAAAATATATGTCACATGTTTTGGTCCAAATAGACAATTAAAGGGAGGTAGGAAAACCACTCTCCTTATTAGTGAGGAATAAACCACTCCTTAGTGAAAGAATTAATGGAAAATATGGAGGATGTGGCCTTGACTTCTTCTCTTACTCTGCACCCGAGAGCCTTATAAATACCTCAACCTTATTACTGAGAGAGATCGAATCATGAATGCACAAAGTACTCCCTAGACACAACTCATCACCTTCTCGTGTTAGTATCTCTAACACCATAAAACCATAAAGTCTCTAACATTTTCTTACTCATTAGAGATTGTTACATATTTGTACTTTTTAGCATGTATAATTTTATTACTCAAATAAAATTATTTAATTAACATTAGATATTTTAAAATTTTGCATCAATTATACACCATGTCATATTTAATAAAAAGGTACATTTATTTCATTAGATTCATAAATAACACATTACATTTCATAATAACATCATGAATATTGATTTAAACTTGGTCACCACCATCTCCTCCACCATGACCACCTCCAAAACCACCTCCTGCACCCCCACCATGACCACCTCCAAAACCTCCGCCTGCACCTCCACCTGATCCACCTCCAAATCCTCCGCCCGCACCTCCGCCAGATCCACCCCCAAAGCCACCTCCAACACCTCCACCTGCTCCAGAACCACCTCCAATGCCTCCTCCGGAACCTATACCACCGCCGCCACCACTACCACCTCCGAAGCCTCCTCCTCCGCCTGCACCACCACCTCCACCTAATCCACCACCATGTCCATCACTGATACCTCCTACACCACTACCACTACCACCACCATTTCCACCGCCGATTCCTCTTCCAGCACCAGCATCACTACCACCTCCGAATCCTCCACCTGCACCATCACCATGTCCACCACCAATTCCTCCTCCTGCCCCACCACCACTACCACCTCCGAAGCCTCCACCTGCACCACCACCATGTCCACCACCGATTCCTCCTCCTGCACCACCACCACTACCACCTCCAACGCCTCCACCTGCACCACCACCATGTCCACCACCGATTCCTCCTCCCGCACCACCACCACTACCACCTCCGAAACCTCCACCTGCACCACCACCTCCACCTAAACCACCACCATCTCCACCACCAATTCCTCCTCCCGCACCACCACCACTACCACCCCCGAAACCACCACCTGCACCACCACCTCCACCTAATCCACCACCATGACCCCCTCCAATTCCTCCTCCTCCACCACTACCACCTCCAGCACCGCCTCCAACCCCTCCACCGTGTCCAAATCCTCCTCCAACACCTCCACCACTACCACCCCCAAAACCTCCGCCTCCACCACCACCTAGGCCACCTCCACCAAAGGTATCAACAAATTCTTCTTTTTTTAGTGTTCGGCATTCAAATGTTCCTATCACCAATACAAATATAAAAGCAAGAACTGCAGCATACTTGTGTAAATTTCCCATCTTAATAAGACAGATAATTGTAGTAGAGCCGTTAAAACTTGCTTTGCTCTTGTAATGAGAATGCTAGGCAACTGGAGTTCTATTTATAGTAGTACATGCCATTAATACACAAAGACTTAGGACATCTCTCATGTATTGTAGTTCCTCTGACTAACATGGCCTAAATTTCAAACTTGTTGGAAAAAAAATCTATTGGCCTGTGTATTCATAATTGCCATGTCCCCAACCATCAACAACCTTAGAGGAATAGTGAACACCGTTAAATAAGTGTAAAGAAATAGTGAAATAAAAAGCAAAGAGATCTGATAAACTAAAAAACCGAAATAAATACAGTAGAGGCTAAAATGTAATGTGTAAAAAAAGAATAGACTTGTGAACATGTCAAAGTTTAGCCAAGGGCAAGTACTAAATAAGTTTTATTTTATTTAGAAGACATTTTTTAACTTATATGAAAGTAAACTTTTTATTTTCACATTGATATATAGTTTCCAAAACAAAATAAAACAAGGCCATCATATATATTGACTAAGTCAAAGATATATATAGAAGCATTAGTTAGCTTCGTTTTATTTTCAGTTTCTAAGTAAACTATACCTATCAAAAAAGATGTTGCATTAATGAATCGATGAAAAAACTTGCGTTTTCATTTAGTTATTGTCATGTATAACTGGCAAGCATGTACCCACCATGTGTATAATTGTTAGCCCAAAACCGTATATGTAATGTGATCAGGTAGAATATCAGCCATCATCGCGTCGGTGTCAAAATTAAAAATAATATATAGTTTTCGATCTTTGAACAAATAAACTGTTGAAGACAATCAAAATAATAGAGTATTTTGTATTAAAGCAAAAGAAGATGAAATGTTGAAGATAACTAAGGTAGTGATGTTTTTGGTACGATGGTTATGATTATCCAGTGAATCAAAGGATACTTGTAAAATGTTAGCTCTTTAACTCTCTTACTCATTGATTGAATGAGGTGTAATTTTGTAAGTGTTTAAAAAGAATATACGAGATAAATAATAAATAAGTATTAATTAGAGGATAGAATTAAAAAATAAAATTTAAAATAAAATTATTAATTAGAGGATAGAGTTAAAAAATAAAATTTAAAATAAAATTGAAAACTAAATATGACATAAATAAATTATTAATTGGGACAAGGGTTAATCAGAGTCGTGAGTCCGTCTGAAAGTGTTATCATCGTATAACATACGTGATGATGAACCTCGCCTGACCGTGGCTCTCATAATCGGGCACGACAGGACCGCCTATCATCCGTCATGACTCTTCACTTTATTCTTATGTGGTCCTAGTGGTATATAACTCTGGCATGTGTATTGGGTCTTTTACCTCAGTAACACCCACCCAACAAAGAAATAGAACCAACACAACAACAGTATATGAAAAGCAGTAAAATGCTATGCAAACATAAGCACGATAGCATGTAAATAAAGTAGCAATAAAATAATAACACACAAAACACCCAAAGACAAGAAAACAAACGAAATCTAGGACTGACTTGCATAGAATGAACCAGCAATCGGTCAACCTGGTCCCCAGCAGAGTCGCCAACTGTCGCGTATAGGATTTTCATCGAAGCGCGAACGATAGACGAAAGACAGAAGAGTCACCATCAATGTTATTTATCCAAAGAGAGGGAAAGGAAACACTGATTAAACCTAAAGAAAGGAAAGGAACATGATCTCACGACCAAGAGAAAGGGTAAGGAAGTCGATTACGCAAGAGGAAGGTATTAGAACCCCTCACATCAGTGGTACTCCACGGGATCCACTCAAGTTTATTATAATCTAAGGGTGTATAAAAATCTAAGTCTAAAGCTTAATGCTACAAGGGAATACATGCAAAGTATATACAAAAAGAAAGTTTTTATTAGTTTTTCCTGTCCCGGTTGTGAACCTTTGTGCCTACGTACCACTGAACGTGCAATGGGGATCAAGGCACTCGTAGTTCACCTAGAAAATGTTTTTGTTAGATGTGTGGTTTTATGATAATGATGTGTTAGACATTTCAAATGTTGGAACATTGACTTGTTGGTAGCTCGTAGAAGAGGCTTAAGTCTTTGAGTTCGCTTCGTATCAGAATGGATAAAATACATTCGTTTATAAAAAGAGTTTTAAAAGAAAATCCATGTGGCAAATGAGTTTAAATTGGTTGGTGTTTTTTACCTTGAGAAATTTTTTTTGTATTTTTATAGTGTTTTGAGAGGTTTGATAAAGAAAAAGAAGTTTTAGTTTTAAGAGTATGTAAAAGGAGAATGAAAAAGTCTAACGGAGACTAAGAAAATCCTAATATTATCAACAATGATAGCCTTAAGGTTAAGGTTTGAAAGGGGAAACTTATACCTAAGTTAGCATGCATGGATAATAACCTAAGGTCTAGTTAGTTCACATCTCAAAGAAGATGAAACTAATATCCTAAAGGAACATGATATTCAAAGAGGAAAGAAATGACCAGTAAATGAGTACTCTTGAGTAAATGAAGAAATGGTTCAAGTAAGGAATGGTCAAACAAAGAAGAAGTGATCAATATGAGAGCAATATAAACTCAATAAGGAAGTAGAAAAGGCATACCCTTATGTATCTATCATGGCATACACAATGTGATAGTGCTCAAGATACAAAACTAGCTAAGGGAAACATCAAAATATTCTCCAAGATAAGAATTAACTTATATTGCAAGCAATAAGACAAGAATAGATGAAAGTAGTGCATGATTCACATTTATATGAAGAATACTTCAAGTAATCAAGTCTAACATAGATCCTCAATCTTATAGGCCTCACCAATAAAATAAGAATGAAACAAGGTGGGAGAAAGCAAACTATAGCTCCTAAATGGTCACCATGTTGACTTGATAGTTAAGTATCACTCAAGGATCAAAGGAGAAAGACATAAGATGCCTTATCATCATAGTAGTCAGAAGCTAACACAAATATAATCAATCATTACATGACTATGAAACATCAATTAAAAATGTTTAAGGCAAATGACAATTCAAAGTCTCATAATGAATGATAAACAAACAACCAATGAAATGCATCAAGTAGTCTTAGCATTGTCCATGAACATGGACTTTAAGACACCATTACTTAAGAATCAAATCACATATGAAGTGACAAGGATGGGTCATGTGCCTTTGATACATCACCAATCAAAGAAGAAATGAAAACAAGGTTGAAAAGAAGAGAAATTTTACTCCAAATTATCATCAAGATGGACTTGTAATCGAATGCAAGCCATAGAATCATGGGAGTTGTGCCTTAAAGTCATGATGACTTTAGAAGTCAGTAGCAAAGACACCAAGTTCCATTCATTATGGATCAAAGGTTTTTTTTTTTTTTGACAAAAGAATACATCAAAACAAACTCCTAACCTTGATCACATTTGGTGAATTTTAGGCACATAAATAAACACAAGTTAGGATACTTAAATGGTATAACAATTTTTAACTTAAGACGGTAAACATGTCATGTGGATGAGGTAGAAAAATGAGAATCAAATTCCCAAAGGTTGCATAAATGCATTCCTTGTACCTCACAAGACAAGCACGAAATGAATCACATTCAAAGAGAAAGATAAAAGTGATCAATTGAAGTCAAATGCCTCTCAAGCCTTTAAAAGACAATACTTGAGCTTATCATACTTCTAAGCATTAATTTCAACCAAAAATCATACAAGAACAATGATTTAAATATCAAATGCAATCAAATTAGGGTTTTACAAACCACACAAACTTTATGCTCAAGGGAAAAACCAAGTAATCAACATACAATTTCCAATAAATGAAAATATGTTGACATAACATTAAAGCACTCAAATGATCATAACATACCCAAAGATTAGCCTTAAATTATATCCAAAAGCTTTGGAATGAAGCTTGACTAAATTACACTAGGCCAAAGGGAGATGTTCACAACAAAATTCCATAAAAAATAGAAAAATAGGATATAAAAAAAAAAAAATGATCAAAGGAGCTCAAGTCTCTTACAAGTCAGAAACCATTCAGTTCTCAACTTAAAAGTCCATGGACATATCAACATTAAATCAAAAGATCAATACTAGCTCAAAAATAGGCTTAAATGACCACTAAACAAAATAAATTAGTAAAAAAAATATAAAAATCTGAAGTATAATTTAATAAAAATGATAAACAGGCTCTTAGCATCTTAAATAAGCTCAAATATATTTTTGTGGAATTTTGAAATCAATAGAAATGAGTGAATTATATTGAAACTTCATGAAGAAGCAATAAAACCTCAAAAAACCATTAGATCATTTCTCAAATTTTGAAGAAAAAAAACCTAAAATAAATGAGGTCAAAGACAATAAAAAATTCAAGAAAACTCAAAAGAACATGAAAATATTTTTTGTGATTTTTTAGGGTTCCTAATTTGGACAGAATTAATTTTATACTAAAATTATGAAAAATAGAACAAAATAGAACATCTTAAATCAAATAAAATATAAAAAATATCAAATAAATGCTAAAAATAAAATACAAATCACATTTAAAAAATAGACTCATTTATTTTTGAGTCTGTATTTTTTTGTATTTTTCTAATCAATAAAAATATTTAAAATAAATAAAGAAAAACAAAAGAAATAGTTTATAAAATAAACTAAATAAAATAAACTATATAAAAAAAGAGATAGTCAAAGCTTCTATGGAATTCAGCGTCTAGGCTCACCAGAAATCATTAACCAATCAGCACAACGTCCCAATCATTGGGCATAAGAAGACAAAAAAACACGATCATCCAATCTGAGCAAAACGCATGGCCAAGCAAACCCAGAAAAATGAAATAACAAGCCCTAGAACCTGTGTTTCTCAGGGTGTTTTCTCCTCCAATTTTCTCATTCATTTCTCAATGAAATTGAAAAATGTAAACACCAAAGTTGTAGATCTCAAAAAGATCTACAACTTTGGTTCAAGAATTTTTTGAAAAGGTTGAGGTATGAGAGAGAAATCTGGGAG